CACCAGGCGAGTGCCAGTCACCGGTCTTCGCAGGCCACCGGGGGAGCATCCAGCGACAGTTCGATTGGCGCCAGTAAAGGCAAGGGAAGCAGTGGGGGCCAGTCTGGCGCCGTCTCCTCCAGTTCGGCTGCCGCCCCGAGCAGTGGACGCACTGCCAGCTCCCGGGGCCCTCGAGCAGGCAGTCGATCATCGCAGCAGTCCGTCCCGGCCGGTGGCAGTCCCAGCAATGGCGGTGGCAGCAGCAAGTCCGCCTCGAACAAGAGCGTCAGCAAGAGCAACAAACAGCAGCCCCAACAGCAACAGCAGCACAGCAAGACCAGAGTGAGGGCCAAGTCGAAGGGGAAGCAGGTGAAGATGGCGAAGGAGACAGAGGACGAGAGCGAGGGCATGTCCGTCTTCAGGAAGGACCCGAAGATGCAGGCACTGCTGGAGCGGAAGCACTACGCCGTCCTGAAGCGCATCGCCCACGGCGCCTTCGGCCAGGTCTACAAGGGCGCCAAGACGGACGGCAACGGTCGCGTGCAGGAGGACCAGCTGATTGCCATCAAGGTCATCGAGATGGCCCGTCTGCAGCCCATCTTCCGCGAGAAGTACCTGCCGCAGGAGCTGGCCGCCCTGACGCACCTCCACCACAAGAACATCGTCCGCGTGCACGACATCTTCCGCGCCAACGAGCGACTCTACATCGCAATGGAGTTCGCCCCCAACGGCGACCTCAGCGGGTGGCTGAAGAAGAACGGGCCCATGAAGGAGCGACTGGCCGCGTACTGGTTCGCACAGGTCGTCGCCGCGCTCTCCCACGTCCACTCCTCGCTCCGAATGGCGCACCGGTAAATGCAGTTCTATTGAGTTCGGTCTAACCGTTTCTGCTCTCCAGAGACGTCAAACTGGACAATGTGCTGCTGGACGCGAGCCACGAGGCGAAGCTCTCCGACTTTGGCTTCGCCAAGGAGTGCTGGGACTACAAGCGGCACTGCGTCATCCTCTCGCAGACCATCTGCGGCACCCAGCCGTACTTTTCGCCGCAGCTCGTCGACCACGTCCCCTACAACGCCTACATGGCCGACGTGTGGGCGATGGGGGTGATGTGCTTCGTCATGCTCAACTACCGATTTCCATTTCACTTCGAGGCAGAGCCCACGGTGTGGCTCCTCGAGATGACCAACTGGCCCACCTTCCTCCGCACTCGGTTCACGCCCACGGTCAGCGGCAAGGCCGTCGACCTGGTGGTGGCCATGCTGAACCCCGACGAGAAGGCTCGCATGACACTGCACGAGGCGCTGAAGCACGACTGGCTCGCCAAGATCGCTGACAAGACGGCGCCCATCGATGCTTAGGGGCACTACAA